TAAACCATTTTTGCAAACAGTGTGTTTATTACATTTCATTTGTGTGATGCATAATTCGTATATCTGTTATATAAAATTAATAAGAATTACTAATAAAATGATTAATTTTTAAACCATGCTGAGAATACACAAAATACTTCGCTGACCATTTCGAAGTGTTTAAATGAGTATAAGCAGGATTAATTAACACAAATGCTGATATAATAAATATATTTTGTTTATTTAGTGTGATAATAATTATCCAATGAATTAGAAAACAAAGCTCGCGTTTTAAAAATTTTATCAAACCCGCGGTTTAAATAACAGGATATTGATTAGTTTATGTTTAATTAAAAATGTAAAGGCCTAAAAATGTACCGATAGGCAGAGGTAGAAAAGTCATATACGAATAAAAAAGGTTGAATGTGGGTTTATTTTTTAAACCCAAATTAAACAATGGTGCTGTATATTTTTAAGAGTTTTCCCTGCATTCATCTGGTAGTTTTCTGTTCTGTTGCTAAACTTAAAAATATTTGAATAAATAACAACAAATTTGATGCGATTATTAGACTCGGCATTATCATGATTTACACAGAATTAATTAAATCAACTTATTCATTCATGTTATGAACTGTTAAATTATGATTAAAATTCCTATTAACTCCTAGAATATTACCAAAAAAACGTTCAAACTATCTACTCATATGAAGTGGTTCTATTCCATTCTATAATATAGTGGTGTAATCTTATCAACGTGTTTGCAAAGTTGTGTGTAACAAAATCGGAAAATGAATGTTTCCGAACTATACCACCATATTTTATCGGAAAAATCTTCTAATGCTCAGATTAAAATATATCCGTGTGCTTTGCCTGAAATTTATATAACAATGCCCGCAATAAATTCAAACGATCGCTGCAACATTTACAAAACAAATAAGATATGAAGCGGCGTGGCAATAAATTTCTGTAATTCCTACGAAAAACCGCTCCACCGCTTCGAATGTTACTGGCATGTATTTTGATATTGGTTCTCATACCTGTACCAATAGAAAATTAAAAACATGTCATTAAAAACTTCATATAATTTATGGTAAATAAAAGCATGAAAATGTGGAAAAATATTGACAATAAAATGAGGGCACTAAATAATTGTACGTCTTATTGAAATTAACTAATTTTACTTAGCCAGCTGTAGAACAGTTCACGCTCTATTTTCGGTTAAAGTCCCTAAATTAGAACCAAGTAAACAATGTTATAATAAATAGTTAAATCAAAAGAAATTCTACAGCCGGAAGACGGTCAGATGAATTAAGCACATTATTAAAATGTGCAATTTTATGTTCAGCATAATATGAAGTTTGAGAATGATAGACATTAATTACTTTAGCGAATGATTTTTCAGTTAAATCGCTTTTAAATCAATTGCGTTAAATTAGCAGTTATTTAATGAGTCAGAGAAGAGCTAATGCTGAAGAGTGTCACTTTTTCGGTGATTTTACCGCTGATCGATTTTATCGTCGATTTATAGCTTTATATGCAGTATTCTTTCATTAACTATACTAGAAAAGCGCAATGGTTAATAGGCTTTGTGTCATGAATGAAGATATGTTTATCGTAATGTTAGTTTTCCGGTGTTAATTTCTTTCCTTCTAATAATGAACAATAATGTTGACAAGAGTAGGAGTTTTTCAGTAAATCACAGCAATAATTAATTTTACTTAAATTATCAATTATTTCTGGTTTCATATATAAATATAGATGCGAATTAAAATATTAAAATATATGATAAGCATTTTTAATATCTGCATAGATACGCTCACGAATAAAAATAATAATATCCATTTGTCCGCCAACATTTTTTGTGACTGAGTGCATTTGATATTTGGATGCGAGCGCCGAAGGAAGTGGGTTGAATATGAAAAATATTAAATTTGCACAAGTAACCTTAAGCCACATTGCGGAATCAAATGGTTTCATAATTGCTTAATTAACAAATTAAAAAATATAAATAATATCAAATAACGTCTGACGGGTTTAAGTTGAATATATGAGACGCATGAAAATTGTTTCTTAATTTCTATATGAGAATCTGCAACTTGAAAATAATGGGTTCAATACAAAGTGTGAAATAATGAGTTTAGTTTTCAAAAATGACTGAAGATAAGGCCTCTTCTGATGTGTGATGAAAATGTGGTCGTATTGATCTTATGATAGTCCCATGGTAATAAAAGCAGAACTAGTTAAAAATTCCTAGTGAAAACCAATCTGAAATTTTTAAAACTTTTTAACGCCTCTTCGGTGTTAAATAACAACATTTCTGCATGGTTTTATTCGGAAACGTTTCCCAAGTACCAATTTAATTCAATTGATTTTACAATGGCTGAATAGAAAATCTAGCGTGGACATAATTTACACATACTGTGCCAGAGCGTTTGGCAATGTCTCACAGGAATCCCTTAAATAAGCTGCATACGGAATTCGGATTCCATACTGTCTGAAATATATATTTTTTTAATGCTTGAGTGATAAAATACTGAGAGCGATTGTCGATGTGGTTATTTTTCCGCTACTTTTCAATTTTGATAAAACTACTAAACGGTTTGATGTAATCAAACGGGTTATCATCCAACATTGTCAACAGCGATTTTTCCTGACTTTCACGAAAATGTAAGCTCAGTACGCGAATGACCAAATGTTATTCAGGGTAAAACGTCCTCTGCAATAAATACCCTATCAAATAACATCTAAACATATTTCTAATATAATTCAAAAGCTGATGGAATCATATTATTTAAAAGTGGCTGAGCGAAGAATAATTTTATTTAAAAATTGTGCTTGGCTCTGTACTATTATTTAGACCTATTCTGAAACTTTCCTCAAAAGGTGTGTTTGTTTTAGAACAATATCCTTAACAATCATTATATTCGAAACATCACCAGATATATTTGCTATAAATTGCAAACGAATTATATTAGTAATGAACCAAATTAAATAATTCTAATGAAATCAGTGGTGTATGTGGTGATCAATAACCAAATAATTTACCACTTATTTAGAAATATTAGCCCTTAATTTATCTTAGCTGGATGCATTCAGCATTCATTGAGCAAAAATCGACCTCCTTCAGATCCTAAATTGATTGAATAAAGTTACTAAAAAATAACAAAGCAATCACTATAGCTAGAGGTTAGGGTAACCACGTACTTCATAATTAACTGATTATGTTATGAACTAGGTCTGGGTAACACTGTGTTGTGTTGCGCTTTTGAGTTGTTGTCGCTCTCTCGGTTACTGAGTTATAAGTCATTTATTAAAGCGGATTAAAGCTTTACGATACCCGAAATTGGAATTTTAACATCTAAAAAACGGGTCATCAACATTTTTTATCAGTAACGTTTTACCACATTGTCCAAACAACTAAAAAAAATTAAAAGGTCAACATTTTCCCTGCAGCGTTTGGTTGAAAATATAGTATTTTTGGTTTTTGCCCTAAAACGTATGAAACTGGAAGTTGTAACAAGCCTTGAAAATTCAATTTGTCAATATTTTTAAGTAAAAAAAAAGAAGTAATGCGTTTTTTGCGTCATAAGAATTGAGTAAGAAGAACTTTGTTAAAACTGCAAAGGCCTGAAATTTTAAAGAAACTTTAAAAATCTACAGAACGGTGAGGGTGGTGACTTTTCCAAATAATTTTTTGCAAACTTGCACTGGTCGTTTTTTGAAGATAATCCGAACTAGTTTCGGTAAAAAACTAATTATTTGCTTTTTGTGCCAAAGTAGGAGCTGAAAAGAGTTTTCCAAAATCCCTACGAAGCGATGAATACGAGGAAAATTTTCTAACAACATTAATTCTGTAATTTTTTTGCTGAAAAGACCGTATGATTGTCAGAAAATCATCAGAACGGCTTTTATGCGCTTCCGATTAAAAACTTTTAGTTTTGTGTTCGGTTTATGAGAAAACTTCAATGATTTTCTTAAAAAAACGGAACAAATTTATTTTCGTTTTTGCCCGAACTGGAAGCTAAAAAAAGTTAATACAAAGCTATAAATTTAAACGCTAATTTTTCGCGTAACTGACCTCCAGATTGCCAGCATTTTTAAGCGAAACTACAAAATAGAGCGTTTTTGTGTTGAAAGTAAAGCAAGAAAAAAATTCAGTCAAATCTGAAAAAACACATTTTTTAACAAACTCTATGGTCTTCAGAGGCATGGGGGTGACGAGTTTTCCAAATTATTTATTATAAACTTTCGCTTATTCTGTTCTTTGTTTGATAAACAATCATGCGATTTTTCTCCCAAATTCGAAGTTGGAAAGGGATTTGAAAACTTTTTACAAAGCGACGAAGGAAACGAGTGTTCTAATAAAATATATTTTATAATTTTTCGCGGGAATTACGTAAGTAAAACTTTGGAAAATTGAGCGTTTAGAGGAAAGAGTAACTAACTAAAATGGAAAAATTCTAAAATTTTGAAGAAACCAAAAATATTAGTAATAAATAGTCCTTAAAATAAATCTAAAAACAACTAAAAGAAGGTCATTAGCATTTTCCCAGCAAGGGAACTGAGTTACTGCGCCGGTGCGTTGGGTTGGCGCACCAAGCCATTTGCGCTGCACTGCGTCAACTCCTAAAAATTCACTAGGTAACCCAGGCCTATTATGAACGAATAAATATCAGGTTAAAAACTTATATTATATGCTGAAAAATTGTATATGTTTATACAAAAATTAGGTTATGGTCCATTTGAGGATGGCGTTCCTGTATAGTTATGTGCACTTATTATTTTTAATGAGAATGGTCGAATAAAACCAAACCAAAGTCTAAATTTTGCGACCGACACATGAAAATATTCATCCAGTCGATATGTCAACAATATAATTATCAACTTCAACACTAAATAAATCCACTAAACATTAGGATGAAAGTAATATCCATTAGTTACAGTTTATTTTGTGTAGTTTCTATATGAGCGTGGAAACAAATACACATTCTATTTATGCATTGCTTATTTCGATACCACAGGGATCTTCAGGCGTCCCAATTATACGACCTGGAATACCGGGAAGTAAAGGAGAACCGGGCCAACCTGGAGACTCTGGGCCCAAAGGCGATAAAGGGCAAATAGGGTCTAAGGGCAATTCTGGCTCTAAAGGAGAGCGAGGAGATCGAGGATTGCCGGGTGAAACAGGAAGCCCAGGAGTTAAAGGTAACGGTTTCTATTATTTGGGGCATAAAAAGCTAATTTTACTAAGCCAAAGCTTCTATTCCAGCAATGATGAAAAATGTGCAAGGCTTTTTACTCAATAACCAATTATTCTGTTTTAACAGTCATAATCATAAAAAAGTTTTACTGCATAATGGTGGAAAATTTAGAGCATATTTGAACTCGTATAATAATTGATTTTGATTCTTTACTACGAAAGTAACATTGACTAGCATCAAGCTGTTGATATTGCCGACAAATAAAAACTTTGGATATAACTAAGTATACTGAAAATGATTTTTCTATTAATTAGGAGATTCGGGCATTGACGGATTTCCTGGCACGCCGGGTACTTCTGGCGTGAAAGGTGAACAAGGACCACCGGGTCCACCAGGAAAACCAGGCGTTTTAACCAACAACGGTTCCACAACAATTCTGGATTGTCCACCAGGGCCAGCCGGTGTGGATGGTAGACCAGGTTTGAAAGGTAAAAGCAGTTAAACACACGCCTTATTTTTAAAACCATTTTTAATTGGGCTTAAAATGCAAACAAACTGTTGTTTTAAACTGTTGAAGAGCGGCATTGATTAATTTTGCTTCTTCAGTAATCGTAGTAGAGTTGAGAATCAATCAAATTAATTTTGAGTGAAATCAATGTAAAGCAAAGTGCAGGTTAGTTCAAGTAATTTAAGACGGTGGCAATTGAATGAATTTCCTTCAGATCAACGGAAAGATTTAACGGTATTTATCCAAAGTTAATTGAAATATGCCCAATTTCTTACTTATATGGACGTCGTCAAAGAAGTTCGAAGCAGCCAGAATAATGTCGCAGTAGAAAGTGGAGGCAATTAGCGTAAAAAGTGGGTCACAATAAACGTGTAAAACGAAAATAAATTGCAAAAGTTGAAGATACATTTTGAGCAGAAGATGGACTTTCTGGAACTGTGAGGACTTTAAAGCAAAAAACAGTAGCATGCGAAAACAGGAGGTAAAGGATGTTATTTTGTGGGACCACGCAGGAAAACTGTGTGGAGATGAAATACAATTTAGGAGATTCAAAAGAAAATTATTTCCATCCCCATGAAGTTTACAACAATTTTATTAAAAAATTACTTGAAGGTTTCAAGTCGAAAGATCTACTTCGGCTCGAAAAGTCCTCGCAAGTGACTCTGGGATTTGATGAATGACTAGTCACATCGAAGTATGTGGGATGTTTGTCGCGTGTTAAACGACTGTTATTCTGTTATTCCTTAATAACATAATATTTAAACCCAAAGCAACATTACCGTAACAATTGGGAACGTATATATCAATCACTAAATGTACAGCAACTCAGTAAAGTAAGGTGTTATGAACAAAAAAGTTTTCCAATGCATTTGATTACACTTGAAACTAGCTGGTATCAAACTTTGCCCCTACATCATCGATAACAACCTGCCGAAATCTCCAAAGTTTTATTTTTCAATAAATGTTCCTGGCAGAAACTTTAAATCAAGCGTCTAATGCAAAATATACATTTCCAATATTTCGTTCAAGTTTTGTTAGTTATTCGAGCCGTTAACTTTTCCGGAAGTTGTTCGTTACGTTTCTTTTTTTCTTCGAACTTTGCCGAATGCATCGTGCGAACAAGAAACCGAAATCCACGAAACGAGACGAGAAGATCGTTGAATAGGAAATTTTCAATGCGGATAATCAGCGAAGAAAGTAATGGATAAAATTCCATTTCTCCTAAACGAAGGTTCCCGAAACGTGCGTCAGTCAGTGAGATTTTCTAATTTTAATTTACAACCGATGTTTCTCGGTCTATTTACTTTTTGTCAAGCTGTTCAATAGTAAACTAATAACATACAGTTCAAAATTTTTTACGGGATTTTTTCAGGCATGAGTATGATATGAATAATGTTTTTCAATTTGAGTCCGTTTATTGGTGCAGACGCTTCAAAAACTTGAAATATCTTTAAGATAGAGAGTATGATATTCAACCATTTGGGAGAGTAAATTTTGCATTTTATTACCGTTATTATTATGTACTTCCTTGTTATTAACTTTGTTCTAAATTTTTAATCCTCCTATGTTTAAGGTGCAGAATCTCTTTGAGACTCTTCAATATTCAACAGATGTGTTGTGTTAAAAATATGTGAGCATGTTCAAAAAGCCCCCTTTGTCGTAAAGATCTTCTTAATCAGACCAGCATGAGGTCTATATAATTACGCTAATTTAGCACCTGAGGTGTGTAAATTCGTAGTGGGAAAGAACAAGACTCGATATAGCTATATTATAACTCGATATTTAATTAAAAAAAAATACAAATTCACATGTGGGAAATACATTGACGTTCACACGTATCACAAATTTAATATTTCCAAGCCAAAAAATATCAAATAAGCTCGCGGTGTCCAAAATAATGAAATTTGCCAATTCCTTTAACAAGAAACGATTTCGGTTGGAGATAACATCTACCAAATCAATCGATCATAATACATAATAGTTTCACATGGAAACACATTGATAAATGATATCTCTAACATATTGGCAGAATTGTCCGACGCCATTTTAGCTCATCCTCATGGGACACAGCGTTAATTCGGCTTATATTAGGACTCTGAATTGATAGGTTCATATTATTTACATAGAAATATTTGGAGAAATTGTACAGAAAAACTGGATCGGTAGACATTTTCCGTACGAGACCATCACAAAATTTACTGGTTTTTCGAATTTAGTAAATCATCAGAGCTGAATCGAAAAAATCGAGAGATGATTGCTTGTTTCAAAGCATATTAAAACATATTTGTTGAAACATTACTATGCTAGCTGCATATGTTGGCATATTCTATCCCAATAGAGAGTAAAACATATTTGAGCACTGTCCATTGGTTTATATTAGGTCTAAAGTAGATAGCATGTTGGATACTAATCCATCTTTAATAAAATACTTATAATATCATATATCAATAAATATCATCGATTAACCATCAAAATGACAAGTTTTGAAATCAAAGGTTAAAATCAAACTAAACGAAAATATGATTGGTTGGTGCTGTTTTTATCGTGCTGTACAAAATATTAACAGTTTCTTTACATAATCGTTTCTGAAGAGTCGATTCGGATTACGCTTTGAGCTGTTAGAATGAAATATATGAAAGGATAAAAACCCATTTGTGAACTGGCGAGGAGTTAACGGTTTGAATCAGCAGCAAAAATCCGCAGAGATATGGAGAATGTATACGTCCTCTATTCTCTGCATTTCCAGCCTGTGTCAAGAACATTTTTGGGGCTATTGAGAATGGAACTGATTCTATTCTGTGGGGTTTTTCGGTTGTATTCTGGTGGAAGTGCTTGAAAAATAGATGAATGGCACTGGCGCAGATTTAATATACTTAAAAACCTAATGGATTATTGATTGTGCTATGGAACATACTTTAAATATTTGATCAACATTGAGTTGGAATGAACTGCTTAATTGTGATAAAAGCGTAACTAACTTTTATTAAAATTATATCAAACTTCAATTATATCAACTGCATAAATTACCATATAAAATGGTGACCTAAAGAAACTTTTACTGTACGTTACTTGTGATAGAGTGTTTTATAGGGATGGGCGGTATTTAACGTAACCGCTAAAATAAAAGTGTTCCAGACGTGTATCTTGTAACCGCAGTTACACTTTGCGAAGTTAACCGGTTGTTTTTGGAACTGTCTTATAAACCCCAAAAAGTGGTTCGCACCAGCACAAAACCGATGCGAAAATAGTTACACATTGCGTTGATGATTATGTTTATCACCTTTCGTCTATAAAAATTCCTGTTCAGTTCTCCAGGAATCATCTTAATCGGTCAGATCAGCGAAATGTTCTTTCGGTGATGATATAATTCAGCATTTTTAGTCTATAAGTATTACCGTTAATGTGGATTATTTAATATCATAATATTTAATATCATAAACGTCAGAAGAACTAGACTTACTAAAAAGCGTACGCAAAAAAATATTCTAAAATGTTAATTCATTTTTTCTACTCATCACTATTTCTACTTAAGTGACAGTGAAACTGCAACGTTGTAACCTGTTCCAGAAAAATAACCGTTTAGAGCACCTCTAGTGTTTTACGAAATACACATAGATTATAGGAAAATAGCAAACTGTTACGTCATAAATGCTTAATGTAAAACAAAGAAAATAGGAAGAACAAAAAGATTGCAAAAGAGGTTCTACAAAATTTGAAAAATATATAAGTAACGTAAAGTAAAAGGAACTTTAAAGTTTCCGGTTTTAGATGTTCTAATCAATGTTTCTCAACTATTAAATGGGTTGTTGTTATACACTTAATTTGTAATCGCATGTGACTTACAATATTACGTGCATGAACAGCCGAATATTTAACCAAAATTCAGAAGTTCAAAAATTCAAAGCTGCATTTCCTATCAAACAGCAATTGTCAGAATTTTATCCCTGCGTCCTTGTCTTCATTTAATGGGATATTACTTCATTACAAAAACGGTCATCTCTCTCTTGACTAGTCAAAATGTAAAATGGCATGGACATTTGAATATTGATAATATTAATTTTGTATTTGCAGGTGAACAAGGAGAACGAGGACCTCGCGGTTTAGTGGGGCCTCAAGGGCTTTCTGGGGAGAAGGGAGAATCTGGAACAGATGGAGCCTTGGGTCCAGTAGGACCACCAGGCTCCAAAGGTGAAAAAGGAGAAAGAGGTCCTGCGGGCGAAATATTTTTACATAAAGGGGACCAGGGAAGTGAACAAATATTGATTCTAAAGGTAAGTTTCCAACTGGTATTTTGTCGTAAATTTTATATTTAAATATTGTTATTAATGTACAATATATTTGCCATCGGAAAGTTACAAATTGCAACCTAGCAAGGAACTGCGTTAAAGAGAAAAAGTAAAAAATATTATGTGTGCAAGAAATATATTGCAACTTTGTACATAAACAAACCCATAAAAATAATATTTACAAATACTGGTAAGATAAAAGTAGAACTATGTCATGAAAGTTAGTAATTTAAAGAACATCCGAGTCGTTAAAATATTGATCATATTCGCAGTCTGAATATGGATTTGAAGGGCGATATTTCCTGACGGTGGACCTAAAGACAAGCTCGTACGCTATTTTAAAGTTCTTATCTAACTTTCTTAATATTATAACAATGAAGAATGGCGCTATGTATCCTAAGAACAGAAAAACGATCGATGTAATGTACGGTAAAGTAGATGCATGAAACGAAAAAATTTCTAGATAAAGTATTACTATATGTAGCGTCGTGATCACCACCATGAAAGGCGACCAAAACAAAACATATATTACAGATACAGTCAGTGCATACGATATTTTTAAGGATGCAGGAGGATATATTTTTACAAAACGTATAATATACAAAATAGCTACTATTAACGCAGAAACAAAATAAGTTACCATCATAATAATGATGTTTGCAGATGGGAAAGAAAGTACAGATGCAATGCTTACAAGATAAGCACTGCCTATAAAAAACGTATATGCTTTTTTATATTTGTTAAATATAAAATTGCAATTAGCAGAAAGATACCAGTCTAGTGCTAATAACAAATATAGTAAAAACGTGTTAATTTGGAAGATATATAGTATTAATAAGAAATTAGAAAAAATGTTAGGTGAACTAAAGTAAGTAATTTTTGTGCTTAGCAAATGAAACACAGCCATCACGAGATCCTGGGCTATAACGCAAATTAAACAATTTAATAAAATATAATTTGTTCGAGTCCGCATGCACTTGAATTTACATATTGCGTACGAGCATAATCCACTACTACATATCCTTAAGGTGGAAATAATGTAGAAGCCAATAGATATTATATACTCTACAACATAAGCATTTAGGTCCGAATTGTAGTTGACGTCAGCTTCATTAAAAGCGTCTTCGAAGACAGTGTAGTTGCTTATAGCATCCTCCATTACGGTATTAGAGAAATTGCCTAAAATTATGAAATTTACTTTATAAAATACCTAGAAATCGAACCATCTACAAATGTAAATAAATCGCTTAACTACGCGATCCGTAAGATAGATTAGCTGGCTTGCCTTAAAAGTATTTATTATTATCATCAAGGTTTGCAAAGAGACATCAGGGTTTTTAAAACTTAAAAAATGTCTCGTGTGAAATTGCAAAGTTGATGATCCTTTTCGGTATAAACCTCATCGCTGTATCGCTGAAAATATTTCAAATCGTTAGATCACGATCGATTATACCAGTAGCCACATTTTCAGAACAATCCGAAGTCGCGTTTTCCCTGCGTCACACGCGCCATTAACCGTGAGCCACCCTTTAGACATTATAAATAAAGTATTTGCTAAATTTTAGCAGGAAAGCATGAAAACGGTAATTTCAACATTATTTTATGCATCTTTATTCGTAGACATAAGACACAAGACAATTTTAAATGACACACAATAAATAACACATTCGGTATTATTTACAATCACTTATTCCTATTGAAATGTAAAAGCGCTTGTATATGCCTAACCATTTGAAAAGACGAAACAAACAAAAGCAATATGTTTGCTATAACTTCAACATGGCTCCTGACATTCCTATAGAAAAGAGCTTACGATACAGCAAAACAAATTTAAATTTTGACTTGTACATATAGGTATATCGAGTGCCAGAAGTTTTATGTTCCGGATGCACATTTCAAGATATGCTTTGCACATAAACATAGCTCTCAATTTTTTATATTTTCCCATTTTCAAGGTAAATGCAGATTCCACCGAAAACAGTTTAATTGTATAATTTACAATTGCCAAAGCGCGTTCGAGCCAAATTTAACACTCTGATTGTTCTTATGTACTTAGTATTTAGCTACTTGGTCTATCAGAAAAGAGAATATAAATAATGACTATTGGTTTGTAGAGAAAACTTGTGAACGGATATAATGTGAACGGAAGACTAAAAAAGAATAGGACTTTATGATCATTTATTAATTTAAAACATCAAGACATGAGGCATTTAATTTTAAGAAATTTACCTCTTTTAATTTACACAGGGTGTATTTTATCCGATTAGTTAGCCCTGAGATTTTGCAAAACGTAAAAGGCTTGAGAGTAATAAAGTGAATTTGGTGGTATTAAAATTCTAAAACTTTCAGCTTTTTTCCAAAATATACAAGAAACGACAAAGGTAGCTAGATTATCAGATCTAGACTTCTATGTTTGGCTTCCATATTTGTTTTCTGTAAACGTGTATGTTTGGAATTCTTTAATTAATTCGTTCAACTCATTATGTGTGTAGAATAAAGTTTTGAAAGACTCTCTGTACATAACCTTCTAATAAAAACACTAAACTTTTTATGTTATTAAAATTAAAATGTTATTAACTAGGCTAATAAAAATTCTTTAAACTTTTGCTTAAAACTTTTAAACCTTTGCTTGCTTTAAACCTTTGCTTGTTTGCTTTTGGAAACAAAATCAATATGATATTGTGAAGAAACGGTTAATGTTTGAACCAAAAAAATTAATAATTAAAACTCTTTGACCTAATTTCGACTGGGCTTTAATATTTTCGACAGTAATCGAAATTATGCAACTTAATAAATATCCTTGTGCTCAGCAGCAAAATGTGCAAATTTTCTCTCACTTAACAGAAAGAACAATAAATAAATACAGAAACAAAACAACACCATTAAGTTGAATACGAAACGAAAATGGTTAAGCGGAGCAAACGAATAAGAGTGTGTAGGTAAATAAAATATTGCAAACTGTTAAAAAAAATTCAGATTCAGAACGAATCGGGCTATTATAATTTATTATTAAAATACTTAATATAGGTACAAATAACGAGATGCGGAAATTATTTTTAAATGCTGATTTTCTCACTTCTTATTTTGCTGCATTTTTGTGATTATTAGTTATTAATGTCAATTAATTATTTGACAATTATTATTTATTAGTGTTATCACGATTTTAAAGTATTAAAGGCAGCTTTCAAATATCTGCAG